ATACGTCGCCGCCGATCCCATTATAATTGGCCTGCAAACCAACTTTTGAGAGCTCTTCCTGATCCGCACCCCGTACTTTTCCCATCTTGAAGAAGAGAAGCCGATGTTGAGGAGACAAGTTACGACGAACACGAAGGGGCCACGCATCCTGCTGATTACGTGGGTTAACCATGCTGTAGCTCTCACTCAGCTTCCTGAAATTCATGTGGAAGTCCGAAGCCATGGCCGGGGTAGGGACATCCAAAGTAACTTTCTTCTGGAGATCATAGGCCCGAATCCGAATGAGACTTGCTGCCTGCACAGTCGCACACTTAGAGATAATGTCCTTCGCAACCCTCTCGAGAGTGGTGGCCATCGACCGATCCTGGAACCCAAGGATGAGAAGACGGTGGGCATCCTCAAGCGACGATCCTCCTCCTGCACTCCCTCCCGTAGTGGACCCGTCCCCGACAGAGCTGTCGACTGCGCGGCGCTTACCTCCCTGACTGTTGACAAAGGGCGGCTGACGGGGGTTCATCTGAACCATCCGTTCCATGGCGTTGAGACGGGTCTCTGCCTTCTCAAGGCGGTCGGTGATCTCTTTCAGCATCTGGCCTTGGACTCCAACAGTAGCTGCTAATCCCGAGACTTTCGCCTCGAGTTTATCCTCAATGGTTTTCTCGATCTTCACGAGCTGGGCATCGAGCGTGGCTTGGATCGCGGCCATATCGACCGCCATCGCGGCAGGGTCGGGAGAGGGGCGGAGAGGGTATGCACTCGGTGGGAAAGGGATACAGAGAGCCGCAGGCAGCCTGTCTGCCAAGAACCCTCGATCTGCTCCTTGGCTGCTCCCAAGCTGGAGCCACGGGGCAATGGTTCCAACTTGAGCCAAAATGGCTACGGATGATGAGGATGATGATGATGATGATGATGATGATGCAGATGATGATGCTGATTATGATGATGATGGTGGTGGTGATGATGCTGCTGCTGATGCTGATAATGCTCATGATGGTGCTGATGATGATGACGATAATGATGATGACGATGCTGATGACGATCACGATGACGATGTCAATATTGATTATGATGATGATGCTGATGATGATAATGATGATGATGATGGTGATGATAATGATGATGATGATGATGATGAGGATGATGATGCTGATGATGATAGAGATGATGATGATGATGATGATGAGGAGGAGGAGGAGGAGGAGGAGGAGGAGGAGGAGGAGGAGGAGGAGGAGGAGGAGGAAGAGGAGGATGTCTCAGGCGAGGCGCTGGTTTTGGCATCCCTGATGGGGGTGGGGTGGGGGGGCGCCAAGGGGTTTTGCACAGGCCCGTTCGCGCCAGGATTGCGGGGATGTCTCGAACGCTTTGCCTGTCTGCATGCCCGGCATCCTCCGCGTGCGGAGCAGCTTCGACGATGTCTTCGGCGAAGCGCTGGTTTTTTCGCACACCCGAAAGGGGGGCGCCAGGGGGTAATGCACGGGCCCGTTCGCGCCCAGATTGCGGGGGTGTCTCGAGCGGTTTGCGCGTGTGCATGCCCAACGTCGTCCGCTTTCATATCAGAGTTTGAGGATGTCTCGGGCCAGGCGCTGGTTGTCGCACCCCAGCGGGTTCAGATTGCGAGGATATCTCGAGCGGTTTGCCTGCTGTAGTAGCCAGGCCACCCCCTCCCGTGTGGCTCCAATCCTATGTGCTTTACGCGTGCTACTATAGGTTGGGCCTCTTCTGGGGCATGGACCCTTTGTGCTTCACGTATGTTACTACAGATTGCCCCTCCCTGGTGGCTCGAATCGTATGTGTGTTTTCGTCTGTTCCTATAGATCGGGCCTCTCTTCGCTATGGCGTGGCTGGCTGTATCACGGTCCAGCCACTGCATGATATCTTCTGGGCCAGCCAGCTAAGCGCAAGGGTTCCGCACGGCGTTTGCATGAGCGCCCGTATTCCTTGCTCCATCATGGAGGGATGCATCGCGTAGCCATGTCGACTTAGTCGCTCCCAGCACGCTCAGTCATGCTCATGCCACTGGCATGCAGGTACACCCATGCGAAGCTTAGACTTACTCAGACTCACGCGCATTGACTCACTCGTGCTACTGCAAATCATTCACACTCCAACTCATTCACACTTATATTCGCTCCCGATCTGTCAGTATTCAAGCCCGTGTAGATTCGAAAGATCTTGTGCCTGAACGCTCGCGGCGGAAAGGTCCATGCAAATAGATGCGTCGATGGGGAACTCCACGCAATGAATAATGATACCAGAGAGAAGCCTCAATCATAATTTCCTTAGGGGTATAGGGCTATAGTGTTATATGGGCTATTGGGCTATAGCGCTATAGGGCTGTAAGGCTATAGGGCTATAGGGCTATAGGGCTATAGGGCTACAAAACTATAGGGCTATAGGGCTGTAGGGCTATAGGGCTATAAGGATATAGGGATATAGGGCTATAGAGGGCTATATGGGCTATTCGGCTATATGGGCTGTTGGGCTAAAAGGCCATAAGGCACCCGGGCACCCGGGCAACCCCGGGCACCTTCAGGCAACCCCGGGCACCTCTGGGCACCCCCGGGCACCCCCGGGCACCTGGTCACCCGGGCCCGGCCACCGAAATCGGCGACGCAGGTCACCTACACGTATGAATCCGCTAGGATCCCTACAGGGGCAAACTCTGATTGGGGAATCACTCCGACCACGCCGAGCACGCACGAACACCCACTTCCTCCTCCTCCTCCTCCTCTTCATCATGGAACAAACATGATGAAGATGCTGGTGATGGTGATGGTGATGATGCTTATGCTGATGATGATGACGACGATGCTGATGCGGATGATGCTGATGCTGATGCTGATGATGATGATGCTGCTCGTAATGATGATGATGATAACGATGATGCTGACGATGATGGCGATGATGATGACGATGATAGGGATGGTGATGATGATGATGATGACGCTGCTGATGATGACGACGATGGGGGTGGTGATGATGCGGATGCTGATGCTGATGTTGATCATGTTGATGATGATGATGAATATGATGATGAGGACGAGGACAATGATGATGATGATGATGATGATGATGAGGAGGAGGAGGAGGAGGAGGAGGAGGAGGGAGGAGTTCTCTGGCGAGGCACTGGTTTTCGCACCCCCTAGGGGGGGCTCGCCAGGGGGTATTGCATAGGCCCGTTCGCGCCCAAATTGCGCGGATGTCTCGAGTGGTTTGCCTGTTTGCACCCTCAACATCCTCCGCTTTCGGAGCAGATTTATATAATGCCTCGGACGAGGCCCGGTTTTCGCACCCCAGGAGGCCCAGATTGCGAGGATGTCTCGGGCGGTTTGACTGTTTTGGTGGCCAGATTCGTTTGTGTTCAGAACAGATTCTGAGGATGTCTCGGGTGAGGCGCTGGTTTCAGCATCCCAAGGGGCCCAGACTGTGAGGATGTCTCAGACTCACTCATGCTCGAACTCACTGGTGCTCAGACTCGCTCATACTCCGACTCGTACTCGTCGCGCTCATACTCAGACTCGCTCGCACTCAGACTTACGCACACTCAGGCTCATTCACACTTAGGCCCACCCACATTCAGACTCACTCGACGTCAAACTCACTCGTACTCAGACCCACTCAGACGCAGATTCGTACTCATCTTATCATACACAGACTCACTCATACTCAGACTTCCTCACGCTCAGGATCAATCACACTCAGACCCACCCACCCTCAGATTCACTCGTACTCAGACTCGCTCTTACTCAGACCCATTCAGACTCAGACTCGTACTCATTATACTCGTACTCAGACTCACTCATACTCAAACTTACGCATTCTCAGACCAACTCGTACCCAGACTCTCACATACAAAAAATTCGCCGGCCCAACGGGCCAGAGGCGTGCTAAGATCTCCGGTAACTTGTTAACAATATTTCTAGTTCGCGCGCGCGGAGCGGCCCCTGGGGGCCCCCGGACGAAAAGTACCCCGGCAAGGTCCCGAGAGAAGCCCGGGAGAAGCCACCAGACCACTCCAGGGGAGGGTATTTTTCGACACCCCTCACGAGGATCGTGGCCTCCGAGGGGGGAGCCGCAATCGACTACCCCCAAGAGCCCCCCAAGAGGCCCTGGGGGCCTCCAAAACGCTGCCAAGGAGCCCCAAGAGACTCCCAAGAGGTCCCCAAGAGGCCCCCAAGAGGCCCTAAAGAGGGCTCCACGGCCGGCGGCATGAGCGAAGCGATTAAATAACTGACACTCGCACTCAACCGTGCCCGGGGACACTGACACTGAGACTCACCCACATTCAGAACACTCATGCTCAGATTCACTCAGTTCTTTTATCCTTTGGTGGTCAACTGCCTCCCTCGCTCTTCTACTTGTGCTTCCCTCAGATCTCCTGGAAGATGCCCAGACAAGGAGGACGTCACTGAAGTCGTCGCTGTCGCCGTCGTCGTTGTCGCGCCCGCCGTCCACGCTGACTAGCTCTCACGCCCAGATGCTGACAGACAGAGTTCTTCAGCGAGGCGTGACAGGAGTATTAGATGCACAGATGAGAATCTCCGCGTCGAGTACTTTTTGCCAACGGTCTCCATGAGGATCCTGAAGGTCCCCAAGAGGGCAATCAGAGAGCTCCAACATCCCAAAACGCCCTAAGAGAGGCCCGGGCCCAATAGAGCCCCAAGGAACGAAAACATTTATGGTTGACTCCTCGCTTCCTGCTGTCTCTTCGCTGTCACGGCAAATTCTGGATTCAAGCTTCGGGGCCTTCACGGCGCTCCTACCGATTGCCACTTCAGATTATACCGAAGGAACAGCGTGCTGGTGATAGTGCGGCTGCCCACTTTCTTTGTGTCCTGGATGTCCCTGTCAATGACCAAGGCCATTCGCCGAGGTATCGTTGCTGGATGGGCTGGTGGGATACGCCGAGCGTCAATACTTACTAGTTCTACACTCCCCTGCCCTAACAGGTACGCTGTTTCTTCTGCCAGTATTCGGCTGTTCATGCCTTGCCATCAGGCTCCTTGGATAATCTGCTTGTTCAACATGAACATGTCCGACCCCTCTTGGCTGCTTTTCCAGCGGCCCTGAATCATGCCCGAGTCGCCCCCTTGGCGTCCAGGAGCACCGACGCAGTCCATAATCTTCTTCTGGTCAGCGCAACTGTCCCAAATGTCCAACACACCCTGTACCAGCTTGAGCGTCCCCGCGCTGGCGCGGTAGAACGAGACGCCAGGATTCAGCGCGCAAAGGTGCTCTAGTCGGCCAGGCCCAAAGCAGTCGCAACCAGCAATCACATCTGCGGAAGCTCTGGGCTCGCCAACCGAGGAGGGCGCGCCGAGCACGAAGAAACGCCAGACGTCCTGGATCGGGTACGCGTCCAGGTCCAAGTGAATTACGTGCTCACCAGCCTTCAACCTCTGCTCTATGAAAACGAAGATATCCCTTTGGTAATTGTCGGGAGGCCAGAGCCTTCGAGGGCTGCCAGCCTTGACTCGCGTGGACTCGGAGTTTGGGCCGTAGGCAATCTGTACCTTCCTCACAAATCCTGGGCGCTCCCGGGTGAAATTATCCATCATCTCCTTGCTGCCCCGGTCCATGCAAACTACGTCCAACGCACCAATGGGAGTCCCAGAATTCGCATAGTAGGCGAGGAAGCCGGGCCACTGATCCAGCCTCTTGCTGTCGAACAACACCAGCACCACGGTGCGTGCGGCGTCGCTCAAACCCAACCGCGGCGATCCGTGGAGCAACGCTGCGCAGCACGAGCACCAAACAATGCCAAACAATCTACACGGCAAGGCGTGCAATGATCGCATGGCGCTCGGCACCGCCAGGAGCCCACCCGCTTGAGCCATGTTGGCGGCACGCGCAACTGGCGCTCGTGGGATGGGGGCAGCGAGAGGGGTACACTCGAGACTTCCATTGAGAGTCTTTTCACGAAACGCACGCTCTGAATCATTTTGCTTCCGGCGATCCCCGCAACAGAAAGTGAACATGTGCTATTTGTATTTTTCATAATGTATGGTCGTTCTGCCGACTCATCGCGTTCACCTTTTGTGTCTGTCATGTGTGTCTGTTATGTGTTTCCCTCCTCTATCCTGAACCGCACTGATGCACCTAGTTCCGGCACGGTCCGCCGGCTACCCGAATGCGTTGGAGCTCGCCCTCGCTGCTGACACAAAAACGAGTGTCTGTTATGTGTTTGCCGCTTTTGCAACAGTTTGGCTGCAACATTTTGGTACCACATGGTCTGCCACAATATGCGATTCCCTATGTCATGGCCGTCCTTGCAACAAATCTGTCGCAATGGTCTGTGATGTAGCTGTCTCCTTTCCGTCTGCTATTCTTCCATCACCTCTGGGTGCAGACGTTCCTGCCGATTTTCGCTCGCTGTTACATCTTATGGACATGAAACCCAGATTAAGGATGACATTCGCATGGCACTTGCACGCATTAACTTCGTGCGCAATCTCTTTTGTCAACTCATTGAGGACTTCGTGCAATTTTCGTTTCGGTTAGTCTAGATCTAGTTGGTGTATTGTCGATCTAGGTTCGTGTATGTTGCGCTGTCTCCTTGTCCAAACATCTATGTTTTTTACCATGATCATATGTACGACGATTCTATCTGTCCGCGTGGTTGGCTATTTACATCTTGTGCGGCTGCGCTGGCGAAAACTTGGGCGGGGTCCCATCATCTCGGGAATGCCAGGGCCCGCGTTTTAAGAAGGACGCTGCGATTTCGACCAAATTGGGCGGGCCCATGAGGATCAGAAACGCTCGGGGTCCCCGTTTTCGCCCCTTCGAGCGCTGCCCACGACGACACGTACCGCCTTGCCGGCGCGCACGTAATTCCCTAAACAGCGAAGGCTGTAAGGTGCTCCAGGTCTCTCAAGAGCGGCGACTCGGCTTTCAAGCATGCACCACCAACTGTGCCGCCCGCGTGCCGTGCCGTGACACGCCGTGTCCGCGTGCCGTGCCATGCCTGCCCCGTGGAATGCGAAGAACGCGCCGCCCGCATTCCGTGCCGTGCCGCGGCACGCCGTGTCCGCGTGCCTTGCCGTGCCCGCGCGCAGGGCCGCGCCGTGCTGTGCCCGCGTGCCGTGCCGGGCCCCCCGTTCTCTGGGAAGGCGAGAAGTCTGGCGCCCACGTGCCGTGCCTTGCCGTGCCCGCGTGCCGCACCATGCCCGTGCAGTCCTCCGCTTCCACAAGCATGGAGGGGCCATCATACACACAAATAAGAAAACTTCCCATATTTTCCAATACTTCCTGGGTTTTTGTCTCCCCCCCCCACTTCCCACATTTTCCCATATTTTCCTGGGGATCGACGATTAGTTGTGTCTGTGTGTTTTTTCCCCTCCTGAAAGCAATGTATCTTATCACAATGCGTTGCTGTTCAGTGTCTCCACGACAGAGAAATTAGCAACGTTTTCGACTGTCGTGCTGCGTTAATGTACGTTGATTGCTGACCTGCTTGCGCGAGACGTCAACATCTTCCGCTCATTTGTACCGTTGTGTCGTGCGCACACACCAGTTTTAACTTGATGAGCTCGGACGCCACCGTACTGCAGGCACCGATTGAAATGACATCATGTGCCTTGGACTTCCCTATGTTAAGCCAGTAGTTTGCCAAGAGGGTTCTAGACGCGGCCAAGTACAAGTCACAACAGGGCAGGGATCCCTCATTCGGGGTGCCACCATTCCCTGTCTTGAGATCCATGGCAGGTTCGTCCCATGCTTTCAAGACGCGCCCGCTCGAGGGTAGTGATGCCGAAATTCCTGCTTGATGGGTCACCAGCTCCCGTCTTGAGATTCGCAGCATGCATTCAGAACGTGACCGCTCGAAGATGGTGCGCTCCAAGCCCAGACGTGCGTCCCACAACTGTCACAGGTGTCTGCGTGCGTGCCAGCTCGACGATGGTGCGTCCCAGGTCCAGACAGAGAGAGGTGCGTCCCAAGAAAATTCCATTATTCCAGGCGCACGTGCAAAAAGAACCCATGTTTTTTTCGGGCGGGGGAGGGGCGATGCCTACAGACGAACCTGACCCATGTGTTTTGCATGGCCTTCAGCAAGCGGACGGACAGAACTCATGCATTCTGTTGGTCCCGACGCTCACGGACGGCAAGGGCCAATGTGTCCTGCAAGTCCCGAAACGTGCGGGCGAAAAGAGCCCGTGCTCTTCACGGGCCGTGGGGCTCACGAGGGCGTGACCAATGGCGTGTCAGGACACGTGCGGGGCGACGTGCGCAGGGGCGTCAGGGGACGTGTCCCAGGAGTTCTCAGGGGACGTGTCAGGGGACGTGTCCCAGGAGTTCTCAGGCGACGTGTGCAGTGAGCGCGTCAGGGGACGTGTCCCAGGAGTTCTCAGGGGACGTTTCCAAAGACTTGTCCAAGGGCGTGCGCAGAGACGTGTCAGGGAGGTAGCCCGCGGGCGAAAGCAATCCGTGTGTTTGCTGGGCCCGAGGCTCTCGGGTGAACATGGCCGATCTGTTTTGTGGGACCTGGGAGCCGCCAGCGAAAAGAAGCCGTGTGCTTCGTTGGGCCAGAGGTTCACAAACGACAGCGGCCGATCTATTTTTGTGGGTCCTGGGTCACACGGGCGAAGGGGACCCGTGTGCTTCGTCCAGTCAGCCCAACACCGCAAGCACCGCTGCACAAAGAACGACACACTTTTGGCAACAGAAGCGCCTGGGCCCGAGAGGACCGCGTGAGGAACAACCGCGGCATGACCCAAGCAAAGGAGCCCCTGCCGAATCGAACCCAAACTGCTCCTTATTCCAACATCTTGGCCGTGGGGCCGAAAATCGGGTTGAGCAGGATTCAGAGTAGGTTTCTGACGAGGAAGGGGAGGAGGATAAGGACGGGGGGGAAGGCCGTCCCCCAGAGGCCACCACTTCCGCTGACGATCGCCTCAGGCGGCATATTCGCCGCTCCGTCGAATCTCATTTCTGCGGTGACGGCTCTGTGAGGAGGCCCGGTGCGCGCGACATGCGCGCCGTGCCCCCCCCACTCAGTGGTCGCTCCAGTCGCCTCTCTTTGCTGTCCGCGCCGCCTTCTTTGCCCTTCTGCTTGTGCTCTGCTGTTACCATCATTTCTTCCTGGCCAATGCTCGAGCTGTCTTGCCTCCGCGTTCCGGACCCTCGCTGTCGCGTCCTCCGTTGACCTACTTTCGCTCGCGTTTTCCAGACGTGTTTGTCTCCCGCCGTGTTCTACCATCAATCCCTCATTCAAGCGGTCCGCGCTGGTCGCACCAGAAGACATGTCGACACGCCACGGTATGCGCGCGCGTGGGCGTACGCCCTTGCTGAGCAATGGTGCCTTGCCTTCTGACACCGCGCGGAGCGCTCAGCCTTGGGCGATCGCGGCTTCCCGGTAGCGCATACCGTTGGTCCGATTCTGGGCCACCTCTGGCGCTCAGCCTTGAACGCCCATGCGGGGGCCGACGCCGCCTCGACAGGGCAAAAACCAACCATGCAAGCCTCCTGGGCGCTGGGGACCGGTGTGGGCGGCTCTCCCCGCGCCGTCAGCGGCCGTCCCCGTGCTCGCGCTGCCGTCCGTCGGAGGACAAGCGGCGTGGGAGCCGAGGCCCTCGAGGGGAATCTGCGGGGGCGCCCAGAAGCTCCGTCCACCACTCTGTTGGCGCGGTCCGTCGAACTATGTTCGTCATTGGTTTGGAGGATGTCTGCGGCAACGGCGCGCGTCAATTTTTCATGGCCCTCGCCAAATTTGCGTTGGCCCCGCCACTTTTCTGACATCTCCGTCGGAATCGCTGGCCGCACAGGGGGGCACGGCAGCTCTGGCTCATTTGGCGGTCACGAACAATTTCGCACATCATGCTGTAGAATTGCACGGTTTGCGCGCGCTGCAGCGTCACATGCAATACCCTCTCGATTGCATAGTTCGGAGTGGGGCGAATCGTCGCAGCTAGAGGCGATGGCATTCGATCGGATGCGGTACATCACTTTCAGTCGGTGGTTCAAGATGGGGTCCTGGGGGATGGGGTCCTGAGGATAGGAAGGGATCCAAGGCTCAATCCCACCAGCCCTCTGGGCGTCGGTGGTCTAGAGAGTTTCTTCTTCCAATCCCCTTCTTCCCCTTCGGGGAGGGGTTTACCCCTCCCCCTCCCCCCTCTCCTGGACCTGGACGGGGGGTTCCGCGGGTCGTTGGGGCGTCCAAGATGGCCCAAGACTGCTCCAAGAGTGAAAAGGCGAGAAAGCAAAAAAACATTGATTTCCTTAGGTTTTGGACGGATTTTGGCCTCTTTTGGGGCCCAAGAGGCGATTCGAGGCACTCTAGAGGGGCAGCGCTAATTGACAACCCCCCCTTCTTTGATAGATCTCCTCCAACATGGCCCCAAGAGCGCCCCGAAGGCTCCCAAGAGCGCCCCAAGAGCGCCCCAAGAGGCGCCCAAGAGGCCCCAAGAGGCGCCCAAGAGGCCTCCAAGAGGCTCCCAAGAGACCCCCAAGAGGCCCCAAGAGGCTCCCCGAGATACGCAAGAGGCCCCCAGGACCGCCAAGAGGCCCCAAAGACGGCCCAAGAGGCCCCCAAGCTCGCCATTGTCCTCCTCCTCCTCCTCCTCCTGCTCCTCTTTTTCTTCCTCCTCCCTCCTCCCTCTCCTCCTCCTCCTCCTCCTCCTCCTCCTCCTCCTCCTCCTCCTCCTTCTCCTTCTCCTCCTTCTCGTCCTTCACGTTCTCGCCCTCCTCCATCTCCTCTCTCCTCATCTTCCTCCTCCTCCTCCTCCTCCTCCTCCTCCTCCCCCTCCTCCTCCTGCTCCTCCTCCTGCTCCTCCTCTTCCTCCTCCTACTCCGACGACTCCTCCTACATCCTCCCCCTCTTGGGGTATATGGCGGCTTACCCCGCCCTTTGTTCTTATGCATGCTCCCCCGCTTCCCTCATCACCTCCACTCCCCTGGGACTCATTTCTGGACGGGCTGGTGGGGATACGCGAAGCGTTTAGAATTTACGTTGTTTGAGGCACCTCGTCCTCAGGACCCCATCCCTCAGGACCCCATCTTTGAACCACCGAATCAGGGCGCCCATGTTTTTTGTTTAAAGACCTCCCGTCTTACTCGAGTCCTCTTCGCCCGAGTCTTACGTCTCCCCGCCCGCAGATGGAGAGGTAGCCAGGCGGACACGGAACGGCTCGGCCGGGCCAGCTGACCGCGACGGCCACCTCGCTCCGCTAGGATGAAGGGAGGGCGGGAGGGAGGGAGGGAGGGAGGGAGGGAAGGATGGAGGGTCGGTCGGACTCGGCATTGCAGCAGTTTGCGCGCCGTCATGCTGAAGGCTGAGCTTGTTTGCTTCGGCCGCCACACTCCCCAGCGAAGGGAGGCCCAGCCCGGAGTCCCAGGCGGGCCAACGCACAGAAACGAGAGGGAGGGAGGGAAGGAGGGAGGGAGGGAGGGAGGGGAGGGAGGGAAGGAGGGAGGGGAGGGAGGGACCTGGGAGGCAGGCCACGGCCCGAGCTCAGATGCCCCGCCTGCTGCACGCGCCGCGCGCAGCTGGCCACCTCGCCGTGCAGCACGCAGGGCGCCTGGCAAGGCTGCTCCGCCTCCTCCGCCGCCGTGGGCCGCGGCGCGGGCGGCGGCGCCGGCGACGGATGCGGCGAGGGTGCCGGCACAGGCGCCAGCGGCGGCGCGGGGCTCGGCCCAGCCGCCGTGGGCCGCGAAGCGGGCGGCGGCACCGCCACTGGCGGCGGCGCGGGCGGCGGCGCCGGGCTCGGCCCAGCCGCCGTGGGCCACGGGGCGGGCAGCGGCACCGGCACTGGCGGCGGCAAGGGCGGCGGCGTGGGCGGCGGCGCTGGGTTCGGCCCAGCCGCCGTGGGCCGCGGGGCGGGCGGCGGCGCCGGCACTGGCCGCCTCTCCGCCTCGGCTGGGGCTGGGAGGGGGTGGGGGCGAGGACGGATGCTCGTCGGCGGCCGCCCGCGCGCACGCGGCGCCGCCGTCAAGCGGCCGGGGGTGGGTGGGGGAGGCCACCAGAGCTCGACTCGAGCTCAGCGGTGTGAAGCGAAACGAGGGCCAGAGGACGAGGCGGAAGCATGAATGCGGGAGGACCCTCGCCTGCGTACCGTCGTCTCTTGGCAACGCTAGCTCCTCCACCTCCACCTCCACCTCCACCCCCACCTCCACCTCCACCTCCACCTCTACTTCCTCCCTCTTCTTCTCCTCTCATCTCGTCGCCTCCCCTTCCCTCCCCCTCCCTCCTCCTCCTTTTCGTCCTCCTCTTCGTCCTCCTCCGTGTCCTCTCCTCCTCCTCCTCATCCTCCTCCTCCTCTTCTTCATCATCCTTCACCCTTCCTTGTCCTTCTGAATGACTCCTCCCTGTCGCACCCCGAGGCCAGTCGGAAGGGCGGACAGGGCGTTTCGCTTGAAATTTCCTTATCATTTATGAGCCTGAAGCTTAGAGGCTGGCAGCAGTTTTGCAGATGGAGGGCGGGTGGTTTTCAAAATGTGGCTCTCGCATTGGCGCCGCGCACATTCGTTTGACAACAATCCAAGAGTTTCGCATACTGAGGCCGGTATCTTTTACAAAATGTGGCTCCCGTCTCGCCTTCGAGCCGCGCGCATTCGTTTTAAACATTTGCAAGAGTTGAACGGATTGACGGCGGTTCCTTTGTCGCTCACATTCGTTTCGAAGATTTGTGCAAGTTTCACGGATTGAGGCCGGCTCCTTTCAAACTGTGGCTCTCGTTTTAGCGCCGCCCACAATCGTTTTAACCAATTGCAGGGGTCTTACGGATTCTCATGGTCAACGTATCAGAAATTATGTTGTGTAACGATTCAGGAGTATCGGGGGGGCAACCGTTACGTCGATTCGCGATGTTGGGATGCAAGGGATGGTGTTCTGGCACGATTCAAGACCGTCAAACGCAACAGTTAGGTTGACTCATGGCGTAGAAGTCCTGATAATAGTGTTTTGGCATGCTTCAGGATTTTCACACGGGTGTCTCCTAACGGGGCATTTCCCGCAGTGGAAATGAATCCTTGTAGGGGCCCATGAAGAGGGAGCTTGGAGGGAGGGTGTATTCCAACATCGTTGATGAGTCTTGGGTTTGCACTCGTCCTCCTCCTCCTCCTCCTCGTCCTCGCCCGTCCTCGTCCTCGTCCTCGTCCTCGTCCTCGTCCTCGTCCTTGTCCTCGTCGTCCTCCTCGTCGTCGTCGTCGTCCTCCTCCTCCTCCTCCTCCTCCTCCTCCTCCTCTTCCTCCTCCAAGGTGGTCCACGGCTGGGTCGGCCAACCCGCCACTGTCTGGCAAAACATCAACGTGGCTGCGGCGGCACGCGTGCTACAGGGTGCTCCCCCAGCGCGTGCTCCACACGCCCCCTGTCCCTGCGGCTCCTCCTGAACTCCTGAAGCTCCTGCTGCTGCTGCTGCTGCCACTGCTGCTCCTGCTGCTGCTGCTGCTGCTGCTGTTGCTCCTGCTGCTTCTCCTGCTGCTGCTCCTGCTCGTGCTCCTGCTCCTGCACCAGCTCCTGCTCCTGCTCCTGCTCCAGCTCCTGCTCCTGCTCCTCCTGCTCCTCCTGCTCCTCCTGCTCCTCCTGCTCCTGCTCCTGCTCCTCGTCGTCGTCGTCGTCCTCCTCCTCCTCCTCCTCCCCGCTGCGCCCTCCCTCGGGGAGGCATCACGGAATCCGCTTGGAGGCCCCCAGGAGCCACTGGGCGACACCAGGATTTCTTGGGGATCCCCTGAAGGATCTGTAGGAGCCCTTTGAGATACATCAAACCCTTCGGAAGTTCGCCCAAAGCGTCTCGTAGCTTGAACACCTCCTTTGGGAAACCCCGTGGGAGCTTCTTTGAGCTGCTCCGCGCTCCTTCTACACATCTTTCTCGTCGGCCCTGGGGGTCCCTGCTGCGCCCCTTCAAGACCCTAGGTAGCTATTCGGAAGCTTTTGAAACCCTAGAGGCCGCTAGAAGTCACTGGGGGCCCCTGAGGGGCTCCAGGGCTCCTGGAAGGCTTGGGTTTTGCTGGAGAGTCCCCTCACAAAGAGCGAACTTGTCGGTGACCGGGGCCCTCAATGGATTTTTGCGGGGCCCACCTCGAGGAGGGCACGGTGACGAAAAGCCAGCGCTTGTCACTGCAAGCACTGTTTGGGAAAGAACAAAAAATGGTTTTGTAACGTCGGTTTCCCCAAAGACCGGAAACCTGAGCTCGCGCTTTTGCGACACCCTAGGGAATCAATGGTTTCCCCGTATTTCTTTATTCAGCCAAGCGGGCTTCTCGCGCCGCATGTCGAAATTATTCGAGCGCCCTTGCGCGCGTGCTGGGGAGTGGGGGGGTGGGGGCACGATCCGCGTCAAAAAATACCACGCGGGCCACTCGCGCGTCGGCCGCGCGGGCATGTCGAAAACCTTCCAAAACCTTCATCACCGACGCGAAAACGCCGTTATCGTCGTCGGCGTCAGCAGCATCGGCGCCGTCACTGGCCGAGCCGTCGTCATTGTCATCGTCGTCGCCAGCATCGCTACTACCATCATCGTGTCTACGGCTGTCGACGTTGCCATGATACCGCGCCCGCCCAAGTCGACGATTCGCACTGAAATGCCCGCTGGGAAGTGCCCAGCGGTCAGCGCCACCGCGGCTGCGTTGATCGCGCCAGACTGGCCGGCCGCTGCGCGCGCGAGCATGCGCGGCCGCAGAGCTGCACCAGCCAACGCCAAACACTCATCGCAATCGCGGCCGCATGGGCCTTGCAAACCAAGTTGCGGGTGGGTGGGTGGGATGCTTGCGCGTGCAGTGGAGTTGACAACTCACTGCGAACAGAAAGTAGTTGCACCATATAGCTTGCACCACATAGCTTGCGCAACACAGCTTGCACCATCTCGCTTGCACCACGTAGTATCCAAAAACCAGCGCATTGGGGGTCCATGCTGGCTAACATTTATGAAGGGAAAGGGATGGAGGAGGATGAGGGGACAGAGAACATCCCTGATGCGTCCAGGAACTCCTGGGGGGGATGGGGGGCGCTTCTGCGCACAGCTCGTCCCTAGCGTCGTCCTTGTCTTCTAGTCCTCCTCCCTTCTCGTCCCCTTCTCCGGCCTCCCTCCCCCCTCCTTCGTCCCTCCTCTCCCCCTCCCCTCCCCGTGTGGAAGAATCAGCTCTGCCCGAATTTCAACCAACACACATCTCTTTCCCTCTCCTCCCTTCTCTTCCTCCGCCCTCCCAGACTCGTCAAGATCCCCTTGCAGCACCTTCCAGCCCTCGAAGCAATCGCCCCCTCACCTCGCCGCCGTCGTCGTTGTTGTCGCCGTCGGTGTCGTCGACGTAGTCGTAGTCGTAGTCATCATCGTCGCCGTAGTCGTCGTCGTAGTCGTAGCCGTAGCCGTCGTCTGCGTCGCCGTCGTCGTCGTCGTCGTCGTCGTCGTCGTCGTCATGATTGTCGTCGTCTGCGTCGTCGTCATCGTCATCGCCGTGGTTGTCGTCGCCGCCGTGGTGGTCGTCGTCTTCGTCCTCGCCGTCGTTGTCGTCGCCCCCGTGGCGGTCGTTGTCGTTGTCCTCGCCGATGTTGTCGTCGCTCCCGCAGTGGCCGTCGTTTTCGTTCTCGCCGTCATTGTCGTCGTTGTCGTCGCCGCCGTGGTCGTCGTCTTCGTCGTCATCGGCACCCAGGGCCCAATCCTCGGGGGCCTCGGCGCAGCCGAGCTCGCGTTCCTGCGCCGCGGCGGGCGGAGGCCGCAAGGCCGTCGGCTGACGAGCGAGCTGCCGTCGCTGCCGCCGCAGGCCGCTGTCGTCGTCGTCGTCGTCGTCGTCGTCGTCGCAATCGTTGCTGTCGCCGTCGTTGCCGCCGCCGTCGTCGTGGTCATCGTCGCCGTCATCGTCGCCGTCGTCGTCTTCGTCGCAATCGTCGCTGTCGCCGTCGTTGCCGCCGCCGTCGTCGTGGTCATCGTCGCCGTCATCGTCGTCGTCGTCGCCTCCGTCGTCGTTTCTGTCACCGTCGCCGTCGTCGTCGTCGTCGTCGTCGTCGTCGGCGTAGTCGGGACGCCCTCGACATCGGACTCCTTCGGGCTTCGGGCATGCAGCCGTCGCGGGCGGGGGCGTCGCGACCCAAGGCCGCCAGTCGACCGAGCAGGCACGCTGGGGCAGCATGGGGGCGGGGCGCCGTCGAAGACCGTCGTCGTCGTCGTCGTCGTCGCCGCCGTCGGCTGGGGCTGGTTTGGCAAGAAGCTTGACACTGGGCGCAGCGGATGGGTCAGCACGTGGGCGTCTTTTTATTCGGCGTTTCGACATTGGGCGGAGCGGGGGGGCGGAGGGGGGGGTCTGGCTCCAGACCTCTGCATAGTGCGACTGTTTGCAAGTGCTGCCTCTGGGGGAGACCCCACCCGCTCGAAACAGGCGCCCAAACCATCCAAGATCTACTCCATGGGGGGGGAGGGGGGGGTGCGAGGGCCCGCGCCGATCAGCAAAACAATGAATAAAAAATGATCACTTGAAAGAACCGTCGCAAACTGTTTGCAGAAGCTGCTTGGAGAGGAGCCACCAGTCGCTCTCGATCGTTAAGCAACAAATGCTGCCTGACAGGGAGCCATGCGGGAACAGAGCCTGACACGGAGAGAGCAGAGAGATGCACGAACAGCAACGCAGGATCAGTAGCACACACGGTCGCAAGAGCAAGGCATTTCGATCATGACTGCTTGGGCACATGTTGGAAGATATGCGAGAATCATCGGGGCTGTCCTCGCAACACCACGCCATCTTGCCAGCGGACCAATCTGTCTGCCAGCTCTCGAGCCCGTCCTGGTCAGCGTGAAAGAACCAAGGCTTGGCATCGTAATTGACATCCCCTCTGTCATGCTGCAGGACCTTCCCGTCCATACGGGAGCGGAATCTGTGCAACACGCCATGGATAATGACTGGGAAGTGCCCCCCTGCTGTTAGTCGGCATCTTGCTGGACAGTGACGCTGATCGGGGCATGCCGGATTACAGAAGGCTGTCTCACACGAGCGCAACCGTTTTGCGACTGCGAACTCTCGTGGAAGCGCTTCCAGAAACAGACCCGACACCCTCAGAGCGCCACGTAGCCCCCCCAGGGGCAGTGCAGAGGGGCACAGGGTCCAATCTTTCTTTCGTTCACCCACCGCTCTTTAGATCTGCAACGTCCTGCCGCGAAAGCCGAAGCCCAGGCCCAGAACGGCGCCCGCCAAAACCTCGAGAGGGGAACGCGCCAAACCGGGGGGACACCGTGGCCGAATGCTCTGATAACGCGGGCCGTCCCGTCTGAGACCTGGAGGTCGGCCCTGGCGGAGGGCAGCCCGGGGGTGGGGCGTCTTCCACGACGGCGCATCCCGAAACTCCAGGCGTCACGACACTCGCCGGCCCAACGGGCCAAACGCGTGTTAGAATCTCTGGTTTCCGGCTCCGCGCGCGCGTGGCGGCCCTTGTGGTCGCCGGGGGGCAAACTGCCCCGGGCAAGTCCCAGCCGGTCCGGGTCACGCATGCGAGAACTCCTGGGCGCGCGCTTCAGGGCCACCCTGGAGGGCCACAAGAGCGCTTGGAGGGAGCTCCAAGAGAGTCCAACAGGGGCTGAGATGGCCCAGGAGCGCCCCGAGACGCCCAGAATGGCCTCTGGACGGCCTCAGAGGCATCCAGACCGCCTCCAAAGGGCCCCAAAAGGACCCCCAAAGAGAGCCACTACAAAATTAATGGATTTTCCAAAGCAGTTTTCGAAGGATTTGCGCATTCTTGATTTTCGGGAATTCAGACGCTCCAAGACGGCCCAGGAGGCCCGCAATGTCGCCCCAAGACAGCCCAAGAGGCCTGCAAGAGGGCCCAAAGACGGCCGAAGAACCTCCCAAGACGGCCCAACATGGCTCCAATAGGGGCGTGAGAAGAGGAAGGCGAATCTACAATTACACCCTCCGCCCCAAGACGACCCCTGGGACCGCGGGCAAAGCCCCAAGAGAACCCCAAGAGGCCCCAAGAAGCCCCAAAGACGCCCCCAGCAGGCCCCCAGAGGCTCTCAAGAGGCCCATAAGACAGGCCCCCAAGGTCCCTCCAAGAGGCCTCCGAAGGTATCCCCCCAAACAGGCCTTTGACCCACAACCCAGGCACGGTGGCAGGATGGACAGAAGGCCTAAGCGTTGCCCTCCATCTATCAAGCGACTGCTTCCACCAGCGCGAGCTTCACACGACAACTTTGGGAAATTACCACAACATCAACTTTCAGATCCCACCGAGAACACGGGCAAGTGATAATGATGATGCACTATGGGCAGGCGGAATGAGCGAGGTGCTTACGTAAAAAGAAAGCACAGCAGCTGACTTTTTCTCCAAAGGGCCATCTTGGGGCTTCAGGGCCATCGAAGAACCACCCGCGACAAAAACACTTGTTCTGGGTAGATAGCTGCAGGTACCCGCGTCGTGAATACACGCAACGTCGGAGTCTTCGGCTCCAGGAGTCAGATTGTAAGCTTTGACCCTCGCCTTCGCTACATAACATGCATATGTACTTGCAAGGCAGACGCACATGTAGGCGAAGACGCGGAGGTCTATATGAAATTGCATAGTGTCCGCCTGCACGTGTCGTACGTGCGGGACGAGGACATCGGCGTGGACGTACACGCGACAATACATTTTATGAACAGACGTGCATGCGAATGGCTCTAGCGGTATGTGCCCGAACCTGATCGGGAAACATCGGGAAGCGCCGATGTTGTCAATTGGGCGCGCAGGGCGAAAAGAAGAAAGGGATGATGGCGAGGACAGGGCGGCGACTGAAGAGGATAGCAGCGTGGATGACGGGGAGGGCAGCGAGGGGAGCAGGAAGACAACGAGTAGAACCCCCCTGAAATAACACAAGCCTCGTAGGGGGCGTTTTGGAGCCTCTTGGGGCCTCCTTCGGGCCTCTTGGATGCCGTTATGAGGCCTCTTTTGGGCCTCTTGGGGGCCTCTTGGGGCGGAAGGCTAGAATCCCACCCGCCCTTTAGCGCGTAGGTGGTCTAGGGAGCTTCCTCTTCCAACCCCCTTCTTCCCCATCGGGGAGGGGTGTATCACTGTTCCCTACTAATAAACACCCCCTCCCTCACCCGTCTGGCAGCCAACCCGGAACCATGCGCACACCATGAGGCCCCCCCCCACCATCCCTGAATAAAAACAATACACAACGCACTCTGCCTCCAAATTCGGAGCATGCGCAACCAACCCGATGCGGGCCACACACCACCATCCCTGTCAGAAAACAATGCACGGTACACTTTTGGGCAAAGTCTGGAGTCATCTTCGTGAGGCCCGCGGGCACTTTGTATTGTTTTTCGACAGGGACGGCGGGGGTGTCAGCATATTGCCTGCTCGGCGCAGGGCTATCATCCCAGACAAACGCAATACAAAATACACTCGCGGCTCAATGTGGAGAGTGCGCGGCCACCCCGCGATCATTGTCAAGTGGTTTTTGTCAGGGACGGCGGGGGTGGTGGCGTATGGCCTTCTGTGCGCAGGCCCACCAGACACCATGATGTGCATTGGTTTTCGACAGGGATGGTGGGGTCCGACATGTTTCCCGATGTGTGCTGCAACGTGCGCAGGCGCACCTGACAAACTCTGCACGTGCCCTGGACGTGGCGCACCTGGCGCGGCTGGAGGGAGCATCTGGTGCACCAGGCGCGCCTGGCACGCTCGGGCCTCAGGGATGCCTGGTGCGCGTGGTGCGCCTGGCACGCGTGGCGCACCTCGCCCCAGCGTCGCGCACATGGGCTCGGTTTTGGTTCCCAGTAGCTGTCCATCAAAAGACGACCGCGGAACCTGCTGAGGCTCGGGTGTTACTTATATCTTGGGAGGGCGGGTGAGAGTAAGCTAGACGGCTTGCTATCTGATTAGGAGGGTGCCTTGACCCCTCCCCTTATCCCCTCCCCTGGGCCTTGGAGGGGGGGAGGACGGAGGTGCTAGAGCGTCCAAGATGGCCCCAGATGGATCCAAGAGGGCCTCCAAGAGCCCAAGATCGCTTCCAAGATGGCTCAAGATAGCCAAATATAGCCAAAGATGGCTCCCTTTCCCCGACCCCCTCTCCTGGACCTGGACGGGGGGTTCCACCGGTAGTTGGAGCGTCCAAAACGGCCTCGGCGAGGAAGCCCAACTCATTGGTTTTATGAAAGGTTTGGCCCCATTTCGGCCTCAGGGAAGGGGGGCTAATTAAGAACCCCCCCTCCTTTGATCGATCTCCCCCGAGATGACCCCAAGAGCGCTCCCAAGGCTTCGCCGCCCGTTGCGTAGCGGCAGGATGCCATAGTCTTGGCCGCTCCCAAGGCTTCCAAGAGTGCCCCAAGATGGCCCACAGGATGCCCTGCCCCCAAGAGGCTCCCAAGAGACCCCCAAGAGGCCCCAAGAGGCCACCCAGAGGCACCCAAGACGCTCCAAGAGGCCTCGGCGAGAACGCCACAATCATTGATTTTACTAAGGTTTTGGCTACATTTTGGCCTCCTGGGGGGGGTGTTGATTAAGATGACTTCAAGAGCGCCTGGGGGAGCCCAAGATGACCTCCAAGATGGCTCAAGATATCCCGAGATGCCTCAAGATGGCTCCCACGATGCTCCAAGAGGCCCCAAGACCGCTCCAAGACGGCTCCAAGTGGCCAAAGAGCTCCCCCCCAGGAGGCCCCGAATAGGCCCAAATCCTTCCAAACCTTAGAAACATCAATGTTTCTGGCTTTTTCGCCTTTTCGCTTCCTATGGCCATCCGAGGCCTCAAGATGGCTCCAAGATGGCCCCAAGAGAGGCTCAAGAGAGCCCCAAGACTGCCCCAAGAGCGCCCAAGAGCGCTCCAAGAGCGCCCCCAAAGCGCCCCTAGAGGCGACTTTTTGGGCTCCCGAGGGGCAACGCTAATTCATGCTCTCCCCTTGTTTAATCGATGTCCTCCAAGATGGCTCCAAAAGCGCTCCCAAGGCTCCCAAGAGCGCTTCAAGAGGGCCCCAAGAGGCGCCCAGGAGGCCCCAGGAGGCCCCAACAGGCGCCCAAGAGGCCTCCAAGAGGCTCCCAAGAGACCCCCAAGTGGCCCCAAGAAGCTCTCCGAGGCACCCAAGACGTTCTAAGAGGCGTCTGGGAGCGCCAAGAGGCCCCCAAGACGCTCCAAGGGGCCCCCAAGACGCTCCAAGAGGCCTCCACTGGGGGACCCTTCCTCTGAGTGCTGCCCACTTCCCTGATCGAGGCAATTCCTCTGGGCATCATTTCTGGATTGGCTGGTGGGGTTACTTTTTTGATCGCGACCGCGCCGAGAGCAGTCGGGCGGCGTCCAAGGGCGCAACAAACTAAGCGACGGCCTAAATTACGCGAGGAGGAGCAGGAAGGAGGAGGAGGAGAAAGGAGGAGGGGGAGGAGTAGTGATGACGCCGCCGCTGGCCTTCCATAGCCCAAGCTGTTGCTTGAGAGCTGGATGGGTAGTTGGTGCCACGGGGCTTAGCTCGACGGGGGACCCTTTAGCGACTACCTCTTGTGGCTCCAGCCATGGCCTAGGGACGGGACCCGGGAGATAGGAAGATACACATCTCGTCAACAACCATTGGTTTTTCGCTTGTCCTCTGCTAGTGTTTCCTTGGTTTGGGCACTCATCGCTCGACCACGGATGACATCACCAACATATTCTGTGACCGTGGATACCCCACACTTTTCCACCTGGGTCTTTGGCACTTGGAAATAGCAACCTCAACCAGTAACTCCAACCCAGAGTAATGCTGAAACTGTCTACTCGCTCGCCTCTTCTGGAAGCCAAGGCCAGCGCGAAGCGCTCGGGCTGGAAACGCAGTGCACCCGTACACGAATTGGACAGAATACCTGTTCAAACTAGTGCTGCTGCGTAGTCCGTGCACGGCAGAAATGCCACATCGTGATCCGGCCTACACCGAATCAGAAGACAGTTGCGTTCGCGTTGGCTTCCAAAGCCGTCCCTGAGAGGGGACGGTTTCTGCCCTCCCCCCTTCTCCTCCTCCTCCCGACCTTCCGTCCCCCTTCCCATGCCCCGCCCTCCTTTCCCCTTCACTCCCTCTCACTCCCCTCCACTCCTCCTGTTGCTTCACGCCTCTGGACTTCACCTGCTCTGCCCCCAGGTCGATAGTGCTCCAGAAGTGAAAGCCCTGAGCGCCCCAAGAAATCGCTGTGGCCGCTCATGTGACCCTCGGGATGGGAACCAGACGCAAGTCGCACTGTACGAGGGGGCTTCGAACGGTCCTGTGGGGGGTCATGGCCCTACGCCTCCGACACCGTGGTTTTATGGTCGCGACGCGGGCATCCAGATTTTTCGAATGGCCCCGGTACCCGAGAACGGCCCCCGAAGGCCGAAAGCGTGAACAATACACACGTCGCGCTTTTTGTTCGCGTCGCCTGGAGGTCTGGCGAATCTGGCCGCTCGTTGCCTGCTTCCAAAAAGTGGCCCGGGACCTGTCCCCTGGAAGGCGTTTCTGAGCAATGCTCGTACTCCTCCTCCTCCTCGACCTCCTCCTCAACCCCCCTGTCCCCTGTCCCCCTCCTCCTCGATCTACTTGTTTGTTCTCCTGCTGCTGCTGCTGCTCCTCCTTTGCCCCCTCCTGCTGCTGCTGCCCCTCCCCCCCCCCTCAGTGGCCGTGCGAACGGGGGGACGGCGCGGCGCGCGCACGCGTCCTGACAGTCGTAGGGCTCGGGCGGCCGGGGGCTCGTGCCCAGGAAGGCGCCCCTAGCGGGCGCCTGGGCGTCGCGAGGCAGAGGAGGAAACATGGAGGACGATTACCCTCTTCCCTTTTTTCTCTGACTCGGCTTCTCCTCCCTCCCCCCTCCTCTCGCTCCCTGCGCGCGATGGGGGAGGCGGGGGGGGGATGGAGTCTTCACTTCGGGGGTGGGGTGCCCTCCCCCTCCCCTCCCTGAGGTTTTGTGGGGAGCTTCGCGAAGGGTTAGAGCGTCCAAGAGGGCTCCAAGAGGGCTCCAAGAGGACGTCCGATGCTCCAAGATGGCCTCCAAGATGGCCGACGATGGTTCAATATAGCTTCCGACGTACCTCCAAGAGGCCCGACGAGGGCCACAAGACGGTTCCAGGTGCTTTCGGAACCCCCTCAGGACCCTCCCAAAAGGGCAACATCCTTCAAATACCGACGGAAAACCACGGATTGTTTGACTCCTCGCCTTTTCGCTTCCGATGCGCTTTTGCGCCCTCAAGATGGCCCAAGAGGCCCCCCAGACGGCCCCAATAGCGTCCAAGAGCGGCCCAAGAGGGCCCCGGGGGGCGATTTTGATGGCCCCACGGGGTGGAGGGGGAGAGGCAGATCGATGTCCACCCCTTTTGATCGGTTCCCTACCATATAGTCCCAACACCCCCTCCATGGCCCCCCAAAGACCCCCAAGTGGGCTCCAAGAGGGCCCCAACACCCTCCAAACGAGCCCCAAGAGGACCCCCAACCCCCCCAAAAGCGTCCCAAGAGGGCTCCAGCAGGCGACTTTGAGGACTCTGGCCTCGTCCTCGCTATCCTTCTCCTCCTCTTCCTCCTACTCTTCTTCGTCCTCGTCCTCGTCCCTGCCCTCATCGTCTTCCTCTTCGTTCTCCTCCTCTTCGTCGTGGTGGTGGTGGTGGTATTCGTCGTCGTCGTCGTCGTAGTTGTCCTCCTCCTTCTCTTCCTCCTCCTCCTCTCGCCCCCACGCGGGCCCCAAGGATGGCCCGAATATGCGCTCCAATGCCACCCCCTTGCTCCCAGAAATCTCCCTCTGTTCACCCTGGTTGCCCGCTTTGCTTCAATGCATGTGTCTCTTCGTCCCTTTTCCCGTAAACTCTCATGGGCAGGACCCCCAAGAGGGCTCCAAGAGGGCCCCCAAACCTCCCAAACGAGCCCCAAGAGGGCCCCCAACCCCACCAAAAGAGTCCCAAGAGGGCTCCAGCAGGCGACTTTGATGGCTCTGTCCTCGTCCTCGTTGTCCTCCTCCTCTTCGTCCTTGTCCTCGTCATTGCCTTCATCGTCTTCCTGTTCGTTCTCCTCCTCTTCCTCGTGGTGGTGGTGGTGGTGGTGGTAGTGGTCGTCGTTGTCGTCGTCGTCGTCGTTGTAGTTGTCCTCCTCCTCCTCCTCTTACTCCTCCTCTCGCCCCACGCGGGCCCCAAAGATGGCCCGAATATGCCCTCCAATGCCACCCCCTTGCTTCCAACGATCTCTCTGTTCACCCTGGTTGCCCGCTTTGCTTCAATGCATGTGTCTCTTCGTCCCTTTTCCCGTCGACTCTCATGGGCAGGATTTCTGAATGGGCTGGCGGGGATAAGCGAAGCGTGAACAATTACCCTCCGCCTTCTCTTCTCTGACACAGCTTCTGCTCCCTCCCCCTCTCTGCTCGCGCGAAGGGGGGGGGAATAATATAATGATAACGGTTGAGGCGGAAGACGGCGGACGGAGAAAAATGAAGAGATGAAGATCAAACTAAATCCAACATGCATCAACAAGATTGGCAGACCCTCCCGTGACACGTCCCCTCCCCACAAGTTCCTACAAGCCCTCCTTTTCATTACAAGAAGCGCCCCGTTGAAAGACTACCGCACGATGGACTGGCATTCAAGCGAGGGCGCTTTTTCTTGGAACGGGATGCGAACAGCCACGAACCACCGTTTAATGAGGCGCCCAGCGAGCTCCCTGTTTTGAAAAAGGGCCGCCCCATCTGTGTAACTGCTGCACAACTTTACATGTTTGGCCCTGATTTTCGAAGATGTCTTCACTGTGGAAAATACTTTGATATAGATCAGCCGTCCTTCCGTGCAATTGATACACATGTTCAGATGTTTGGTCTTGAAATTTTGACGAGGTCTCAAACGAGAGCCACATTGTGAAACCCAGCCGTCCTCTATCCCTGTACGCGGCTGTTGCAAAGACTTTGAAACAGATGTGCGCGGCGTTAAGGCGAGAGGCCATTCTTGAGTAGGGACCTTCCTCCATCCTTGTGACTGTTGCGAGCTTTTAGGGCACATGTGCGCGGCGCTAGCGCGAGAACAATATTTTCACAATTTCCCCTCTCATCCTTGCAACTGTTACACACTGTTAAAACAAATGTGCGCGGCACAAAAACGAACCCCCCATTCTGAAAACCACCACCCGTCAATCCGTGTGGCCATTGCAAAATTCAAACTTCTGTCATAACCTGTACGGTAGTCTCCCGCGACACGCACAGCCCGCCCTACCAACACGTCAGGGGTTGCGCCAAGGAAGAGCTATCTATACGGCGAACGGGTCGAGGAGGATGAGGAGGCGGAAGATTAACATCGATGCAGGAGGAGGAGGAGACGGAGGGGGGGGGGGAATGAAGGACCGAGGCGGAGGAGGAGGCGGATGACGATGACAATGTCGATGATGCTGATGCTGATGACGATCATGCTGATGCTGATAATGATGACGATGCTGCTGATGACGATGATGGCGATGGTGATGCTGATGATGATGATCCTGATGTTAACGACGATGATGATGATGATGATGCTGATGATGATGATGATGAGGATTATAATGGTAATTATGGTGATGGTGATGGTGAGGATGATGATGCTGCTGCTGATGATGCTGATGATGGTCGTCGTCATGATCATGATGGTGGTGATGATGGTGATGCTGCTGGTGATGATGATGCTGATGATGCTGACGCGGATGCTGATGAACTGTCCTCCCACGACAACCGACGACCAACTCCAACCAGCGATGGGGCCTAAGGCCGCTTCCCTGCGCGCCGCCACGAGAACGAATGAGACGATCCTTGCACAAGCCGACCGACAACAACCCCACTGGAGAAGGGCGCTCCACGGGGCCGAGGACGCGGCGCTCCCAAACGAATGCGCTACGGTGATGGCATTCGATAAAGAACCATGGGATAAGGAATCCAGGGTCTGGAGGCCCGTGGAACTCCAACCGTGGAATGGCCATTGATATCACCGCCGCAATCATCGTCACCCTCTAGGGTCTGAAGACTACAGGACGCACTCCGTATGAACACCCTCACCGTAATTAGCTTGTGGCGAATGCACGGTGCTCCCAAGGGAACTGCGCTAGCCTGTGGTTGGAACGCAATCTTCGAGAGGAGATTGCTCGAGTCCGTGGTGCAGATGCAAGGCTCCCAAAAGAACTGCGCCAACCCGCGGCGCAGACGTTGTTCTCGCAAGAGAGTGCGCTGGCCCGTGGTGAGGACAAGGCGCGTTCCTTGCCAGACTGCGAACACGTGTCAAATGCAACATCCGCTAACATCATTTTGCCCCACTGTGCAGTGCGACCCGCCCATCCTCGCTAGCCGCCGAGCTGGTCACCAGATAATGGTGGTGACGATATGGATGATGGTGGTAACGATGATTACGATGAGGGTAGGAGGATAACGATGATGACGACGAAGACGACGTAAAAATGATGAGACGGGGGTGAGGAGGAGCGGAATAAGGAGGGATGTATGGAGTGGGGAATGAGCGCGCGTCCTCATGCGCAGCCAACCTCTCCCCAGTAGCCTTGGTATTTTCCTTCTTTTGTCAAAGCGTCAGTTCACAGAGGGCTGTATGCCCCTGTGACGTGGACATGCGCTGTCCAAAATCGCGCCGCCTCAATCTTCCCATCACCCTTCCCCGTCCCCTCCTCCGTCGCTTCTTTTTGTCCTCCTCCTCGTCATCCTCCCCTCCCCCTTCCCCCCTCCAGAGACTTTTGGAACCCTCCCCAGAGCCATGATATCAAGGACTTTGACAAACCATGAGATTGGCACGCTTGACAAACCTGTAGCTGTGTGTAACAACATGTTCCGTGTTTCGTTTTTCCCCCTGGATTTGGTAATGTCCTGGTTTGCAATGCCCTGGCTTCCTGGACCCAGACCTCCAAAAGCCTCCAGACCTCCGGAGACCTTTGGGAATCTCAGATAATCCCAAGACAACTTTCTTCAATGGTTCGAGCCGTTGCGTTGAAAGCCAAGCTGGGGAATGCAAGCCAAACTTCCATGGCCTGCGTCAACAACAAAACATCACGTTCATGTTTCCTTTCGTGATGGAAACTTCCAACACACGTGCAATCGCCCAAAAACCTCTGGGTACTTGTCAACATCTCCGAATACGCCGTCCTCGTCCCGAGGAGGAGGGTGATGCTGAAGACGAGGAGGATGAGGAGAAGGAGGAGGACGAGGAGGAGGAAACGAAAAAGGAGGAGGAGGAGAAGGAAAAGGAGGAGGAGGAGGAGGAGGAGGAGGAAAAGGAGGAGGAGGACGAGGAGGAGGAGGAGAATGGGAGGAGGAGGAGGAGCAGGAGGAGGAGGAGGAGGAAGGGGAGGAGGAGGAGGAAAAGGAGGAGGAGGAGGAGGATGAGGAGCTTCGAAAACTAGGCACCAAGCCGAACACACGAGAATATATATACGCTTCTTCACATAAGCAGCTGCTCGAGGTCAGAAGGACATGCCTGTGACATCCATTACTTACTTTCTCGCCAGACGGGCCCTTCCCCTGGATAAGGCACTTCCTCTTCAAACGACTAGGAGAATTCAAGGGAGGTCTACTTACGCACTGCATGGCAATCATGAGCGCTCTAGAAACGCATCGGGCTCCACATTCGACACACCAAACCATCGGGCCCGTTTTCCAAAGTCGGTGCGACTCATGAACCGATTGGACCCCTTTACGGGGCCCTCCGCAGCTCAAGATGACTAAGTCGCAGCTTCGAGCGTGGTTCTCTTCACACCTCGCGCACGCCCGTCTACCTTTGAACCTGCGCA